CGCGGGGGGCCGCGCGCTCCTTGCTCATGGCAGTCACGTCTGGGGCTGTCTGGTTGCCGGTGGCAACGAGACATGATGTAACACCGGGATGAACTTGAACTTGGGGGACTTGAAAAGGGAACAATGGAGCGGAGCAATCAATACGGCCCACGGCGGTGAAGGATTACGGAGCGCGCGGCGGTAACCTTGCCCGCGCCGCTGCCGCCGCATGAATAGCGGGACGCGGGAAGGCGCGCGGGCCGGCGCGCACCATGCGGGCCCGCCGTGGGATGCGGCCCCGCCACGGGATGCAGCGCTGCGGAGCTGCTCCTGCTGCGGCGCTGCGGGAGGCGGAGCGGGATGGGAGGCCCTGGACGTGCGCAGGGAGCCCGCGCTGCCTTAACCCCTCGGCTGCCGCCGTTGCGGGGCCGTGGGGTGGACGTGCACGCACGGCGATGGCCGGCACGGCGTGTAGGGCACCGGGCATGGTGCACGGCACATGGGGCACCCTGCATGCTGCACAGCACATGGTGCACTCTGCMTGCTGCATAGCACATGGGGCACGGTGCATTTTGCACACGTGATGCATGGTGCACAGTGCATGGTGCACAATACATGGTGCACAGGGCATAGGGCATGTTGGATGTGCACGGCACACATAGTGCGTGGCACACGGTGCATGGTACGCTACGAATGCTGCACGTTGCATTGTGAAGAGCACATGGTGCATGGTCTGCAGCACATAGGGCATAGTGCATGACAGTGCATGGTGCACAGTGCATGGTGCATGGCRCACAGCTCATGGTGCATGGTACACAGTGCGTGGTGCAAAGCATGTGATGCACAGTGCACCATGCACACCATGCATAGCACATGGTGCATGGTGCACACCACGCAGCACATTGTGATGTGGTGTGTGTGGTGCACAGTGCATAGCACGTGATACACGGTGCATGGTGCACACCATGCAGGATATAGTGCACAGTGCACAGCACATGGTATGTGGTGTTTGCTGCACACCATGCAGCACATATTGCACACTGCGTGGCATGTGGTGCACGATAGACACCATGCAGCACATCGTGCAAACTGCACAGTGCAAGCATATGGTGCACGATGCATGCTGCACACTGCGCAGCACGTGGTGCCCGCTGCACAGTGCAAGCGCATGGTGCACGATGCATGCTGCACACCGCGCAGCACGTAGTGCACACTGCACAGCGCCTGTCCCCCGGTGCATGGTGCTCAGCGATCCCCAGCCCCGCTGCAACCCAGGCACAGGGCACACCATGGCAAGGGGCCCTGCAGCGCCCGCGAGGTGCAGAGGAAGGCGCCCCAGAAGCGCTTCGCTCACCCATTGCTACCCCGTCCCACCGTTGCACCCTCACGCGTCCCCTCGACGCCGCGGTGCCGTCGCGCTGCCGGGGCCGCGTCGGGAAGCGACGTCGGGAAGCGACGTCCCCTCGTCRGGCCGCGTGCTCGGAACGGCCGCGGGCCGGGGGCGCGCGACGCTCGTCCCGGCTCACCCGCCCTCTGCTTCCCTTGCAGTCCTGGTACCTGGGATAAAAGTCTCCGCTTCCCACCACCCTCCGGACAGACCACCCGACCCCTTCCCACCTCTGTGACCGGGAGCAGCCGCCGCCGCCGCCAGCGCCGTGTCCCCGCGGCGTCCCCGCGGCACGCCGGCCCCACGGCGCCGGGGGAGCCCCGCAGACACCGGCACCACACTCGGACCTGCAAATGGCAAACGTTATGGTTGAATGGCGAAGGCCGTAACTTTTTCACCATTTTTTTTTTTTTTTT